TCAGGAGGGCCCACTGTCTGATTCTTGACTCTCCATAGTCTCTCGCTGGGCCCATGTGTAGGTAACACCCCCAGGACTGGCAAGGAATTTTTAAGAGCCCTTTGAGCATGTGCTGTTTGACTGGGCCCTGCTGTGCTCTGCCCCACTGTCTGGGCAACAGGAAGGCCAGGCCTAGCCAGCTTTTGACCATTCCCTCCAGAGCCTTTGTGGATGTGTGAGGGCTTCTTTCTTCCCCTCTTCCAGCGTCGGAGACATGCCCACTAGCGAAGAAAGCAACAAATGGCAGCGGCTACTAGGAGTGGCTGCCACCTCAGCAGAAGCGCAAGGAAGGGAGCTGGGGTTTGGAAGAGAAGCTTCCAGGGAACCATGGGGCAACACAAGTGACCGTTTGATGGATCGCTCTAGCCCCTGGAACAGGCACGCACCACCATCCTTTCTCCTGAGCCCCAATCATGGCCTCTCTGGCGGGGACCGGACAGTGCAAAGGCCCGGAAGTATTTGCCCCAGAAGCAGCTACTCCTGCTCCCCGGGGCCATTTGTCAGGGAGGGAGGGAATGGACATGGTGGCCAGAAAGATCCAGTCGCCCTCCTGGCTCATCTGTCCTCACAGCTGTAACCACTTGTGAACATGTCTCCTCACCAGGGAGCTGAGTCATTGCTGCCAAAGCTTAGAGGCCTGGAAGAAAGGGCTGGTTGAGTAAGCCCCACCAGTGTGCTTAAGCTCCTCAGGGATTAGCACTGGACCTCATGAAGGACATGCCCTGCACTCTGGGATAGCTAAAATCTGTCTTGTTTGGATTAAGTTTCAGTTCATTCACCCTCATCCAGTCACTGACTGATAACCAGACACTTGCAGCTGCCCAACCATGCCAGCCTCTGTGGGAAACCCAGGACATTGAATCAAGCCTGTTCAGGGATTTTTTACACAGAGAGACTGGCATGGTCTCTGTGCTTTGTTTACAATTACTACAACTTTTAACATGGTCGCCTGGTGTACATTTACCCTTTATTTCCCTGACCTTGTCCGTCCCCATACACGGCAACCACGACTACCTTGACACAGCATGACCCACGTCTCACATTTTAGGAGAATGTGTGCATCTGGCAAAAGGGACAGTGTTTAGGAATGCCATAATACAGTACCTTTTCTTTTCGTTTTGTTTGTTTTTTGTTTTTGTTTTAAGACGCCTTGTATTTATGTACTTGCTTGCTTACTTACTTACTTAGTACTGTATACCGCCCCATTAGTGCCAAAAGAACTACTCTGGGCGGTTTACAATCAACTAAAACAAGAAAATGGGAATTAAAAAATAACGTCCTGGAATCACGAGGCTCTCTGTGCTCCCAACTGATCACCGCCCTCTCGCAGCCCTCCCAGCGATTTGTCAGTTCTGGGAACGCCTTGTTTCGCTCCACCTTTGTTGTTGTCACGCTGACTTAGCTTTGCGCAAAGCATCCGCCCCGTCATCATCATCCTCGCTTGCCTCCCCCGATCAGCCGCAGTCTGCTCTTGTCTTCCCAAAGGGGAGGCCAGGGGGGGAGGGGAGGGATAGGCGTGCGATGCGTGTGACTCAGGCCGTCGGAAGCGTCCCTGGGGCAGCGTGAAAAGGCCTCCCAGGAGCCCTGAAAAACGGGGAGAGGGGGCGGGGCGGCCACGCCCTCGGCCCTGACGTCACCCGTGTGGCTCAGGATGCTGCATTCGGAATGTGCCTCTTTCCACAGGCGTGCGCGGGGGGTGTCTTCCTGTGGCCGCCTCCTTTCCCTTCCTCTCCCAGCCCGGAAATGGACCGCCCCGACTACTGGTGTTCACCCCCTTGCTCGCCCTTGTGGTCGCCCAGGCGCACCTGTAGCAGCCAGTCTCTCTGCAGGCTTCATGTTTTGAAATGAAAGACACAGATTGAAGCACACGCAGATTAATTCAGTGGTTATGTTTTCATAGAGTAATTGAGTTGGAACCTATAAGGCCCTAGAGTTCAACACACCCCCCTTGCAAGAGTTCAGATCAAAGCAGGTCTGACAGACGGTTGTCCAATTTTCTCTTGAATGCCTCCAGCATTAGAGTGCTCACCACTTCCCGAACTAATTGGTTCCATTGTCTTGCTCCTCTAATAGTTAGGAGGTTTTTCCTGATAGTCAGCCTACATCTGGCTTCCGGCAGCTTGAGCCCATTATTGCATGTCCTGCACTCTGGCATGACTAAAATCTGTCTTCTCTGTATTAAGTTTCAGTTTATTCACCCTCATCCAGTCACTTACTGATACCAGGCGCTGATCTAGAGCCAAAGCAGCTTCCCTGGATTTGGGTGGCAAGGAGAGGGTAGGGTTCGGTGTCATCCACATACTGCTGGTACCGAACCCCAAAACTCTGGATAATCTCAGCAGTTTCATGGAGATGTTAAATAGCATAGAAGGCAAAACAGAATCCTGAAGGACCCTGCAAGTCACTGGCCAGGGTGCCAAACATGAATCCCCCCAGCACCACCCTCTTGCGTTCTCTCCTCCAGGAAGGACTGGAGCCACTGTGAAAAAGGGCCCCCAAGTCCCATTCCAGAGAGACAGGACAGGAAGATACTGTGGTCAATAGTATCAAAAGCTGCTGAGAGGTCCAGCAAAACCAACAGGGGCACAGATCTCCTATCTATTTCCCGCACAGGTCATCTACCAAGGAAACCAAAGCTATCTCTGTCCCTTAAGCTTTACCATTTGGCAAAGTGGTTATCTCCGGCAGCAGATGCTGGGGTGTGTGAACAAAGCTGAGCAATCCCCATTTGTTTCTTGTGAGACCCTCTCCTAGCTGTTCCTTTCGATGGGAGAATGCAGGGTTTGCTCCCTTATAAATCCAGCACTGTCCAGGTCCCTTTACTTAATGTTTGCCCTTCTTTTCTTTTTTTAAACACTCAAATGTTTTAAAAGTGTGGAAATACAAATCAGAAATCCAGAACCACCAATGTTCTGTCCATTTGTTCAGTAAGAAGACCACTTGTTCCAGATAGTGGGTACATAAAGGACTTTAATACATAGTACATGAACTAAAACATAGGCAGAGAACTTGTGGCCTCTCCAGCGTTAGGCTATGAATGCATTGGCCATGCTGGTTGCAGCTGTGGAGTGCACTAACATCTGGGGAGCCACAGATTCCCCTCACCTGGCTTGTTACATTGAACTAAGGCCAAGGAGAACCACGTCCAAATCCCCATTCTGCCATGAACTGCAGTGAGTGATCTTGGGCCATTCTCTGCTTCTTGGCTTAATTTAACACGTAGGTTTGTTGTGAGGATAAATGGCAGGTAGCTTAGCCATGTTCCGAGTGCTGGGTAGTGGACAGAGTGACAGATTAGGACTCTGGAGAACATGGGGGCCTGGAACTGGTAAAAGCACTACTTAAACATCTCACCTTGAAACTATAAATCAGCTGGTTGGTTGGTTAGTTTCATTCACGCTTACAGTGGCAGTTCTAGCTCATGCCCTTTCTATCACAGCCTTCCTGGCTTTCGAATTGAGGTGGATAGTGTTGGTTTTAGTTGTCTCCCAGTTAATTTCAAAATGTAGAAATAGTGAGGAAATGGCTGTGCCGTTCATTATGAAAATGATTTTGCTCCAGGGTTGCAAACGATTATTATGGATATATTTTGTGTTCAGCAAAGAGCAAGCATTTCCATTGAAGGCTGGAAAGCTTTAGCATGATGGGCTCATGTTGTTCATCTTCATTATGAGACAGCTGTTATTTTTACCTTAGAAGAGCAGTTGTTTCTTCCTGTCTCTCATATGATCAATGATGCATGTGATACACTCAAATGATAAGTCTGTATAATGTGTTATTAGTGATTCATCACTCTTGTCTTACGAGGTCCTGGTCAACGGTGAGGAATTTCATATATATCCTGAATGGGAAGGCCAGCAGAAATGAGCGCTAAGTTAATCTTGTCCCTTGGGCTGCACTGAAATTTTGTGATCCAAAAGAAATCGTTGCCTGCTTTAGAAATCACATGGAATTCTACTTTCTTTCCCAGCCAGGCGCACCTGTAGCAGCCAGTCTCTCTGCAGGCTTCATGTTTTGAAATGAAAGACACAGATTGAAGCACACGCAGATTAATTCAGTGGTTATGTTTTCATAGAGTAATTGAGTTGGAACCTATAAGGCCCTAGAGTTCAACACACCCCCCTTGCAAGAGTTCAGATCAAAGCAGGTCTGACAGGCGGTTGTCCAATGTCCTCTTGAATGCCTCCAGCATTAGCGTGCTCACCACTTCCCGAACTAATTGGTTCCATTGTCTTGCTCCTCTAATACTTAGGAGGTTTTTCCTGATAGTCAGCCTACATCTGGCTTCCTGCAGCTTGAGCTCATTATTGCATGTCCTG